AGGAATGTATTGATCAGCGTAATTACACAGAAAGGTCTAAGTAACCTTCCAGACTATTAGGGATGACCTCTAATGTGCTCAGCTTTTCTAATCCCAGGTGACCCATGGCTGCCTGCCATAACAACTGGATTCAAAGTTTCTTGAAAACCGAGCTTAAGAAAGAAGTCCTGAATTGGAAAGACAGCACACTCACTGCTAGTGAGTGTGTAGGATGCATCTGTTTTCCCACCTGCTAAGTTTTTAGATCTTGCTCTTACTCCTTTTTCCATAGCACTTCAATAGAAGTTGGGACAGGATATAAAAAAAGAAGTTCAGGATGGGAAGACAACTCAGTTTGTTGCAGAAAGGAAACACTCCAGACACAGGACAACGTTAATTTTAGGCCTGAGATAGCTTAGGAATGTTATTAATACAGCTGAGACTACTAAATTTCTAAGTGCCAAAGATAAACACAAGGGTCAAAAAGAAATGTCAATAGACTGAGAGGGGAAGCATCAGCATTTCAATGTCTATACTGACATGTATCTGTCTATCTGCAACATTCACAAAATGCTTCTTACCTGCAAGCTAGCTAACAACAGATACAAAATAAAATGTGCACATTTGGCTTAGTGAAGCACTGTGGTGTGTGTGCGTTATCAAGAAAATACTCTAAATGCTAGCATCTTGTGCTTCTGCTTGCAGCATAAACATAATGGCACCTACTCACCAGGAACACAACATTTGTCTGCTGGTAAAGTGCTCTTGCCACGCTGATACGTTGGCGCTGCCCTCCAGACAGATTAATACCCTGGAGATAAGCAGGAAAAAACCAATCAGACAGTTATATAAACAACAATTGAATATTCACATTTTTATCAGATTATCCACAGAAGACTTTCTGGACAAAGAAAGCCAGAGACCTTTTTCAAAAGTGTGGGCCTGCAATTCAGCTAGGACACAGTACGCAAATTGTTAGAAAAGCCAGAGCACTCTGGAGCTGTATTCCATACATACCAGAGGGATGGGAAATATTTAATGGTTTGTGGGGACATAATGGTGTAGGTGGCATAGATATTCTGCAGTCTAAACTAGAGTTCTCCTCGAAAGTTAGCCTTATGAGCCTGGCTGTGTCCTGTCTTTTAGGTTAACATTACCTGGTTGCTGTTCTAGTTTTTTCAGCCCTTAGTCCCCTGCTACCACGCTGCTCAAAGTTACTTACCCTTCCTGTGACCCACCTGCAGTTTCACAAACACCTTAAGCTCTCATAAGCCTACACTGCTGTGCCATCCCAACTTCTCCCCTCCCTGCACTTCCTTCCTTCTGTCAAAAAACATTTATTTGGCTACAGAATTAATTGTGTTAGGAACTAATCCATTTAACATTAATATGGTAGCCAGTGTGGAGATTAGGCATAGAAATATACTCTTAAATGTATCCTTGTGTGAGGTGGTTTGTTGTGGAGTTTTTTTGGGTTCATTTGTGACAGTGCCATTATATGACAGAGTAAATTGTTTACAAATCCGTGACTTCTGTTTCCTCTCTTGTCACTCCCTATTCTTCCCTGATGTGATAAAGCTTAGTTTGCTGTTGATTAAACACCTGCCCTCTTTTAAATGAAGGGACTCTAAAAATCTATGAATTATTTATTTTTATTACTTCTAAAGAAACCAAAAAATGCGCTGTGAAGTCAGGATATATGAGATAGTGGCTGCAGAATTAGTCAAACATTCTGATAGGAGCACATTTAAATCATTGCATCTCACATAAATGACAGCGTTTCCATGTTTACTGAGCAACGAGCTTTCAGACTAATGACCCAAACGTACACTTAACTAAAAGATTACCTTTGTTGCCAAATAACCAGTAAGATTTTAAGAACACAACAAAATTATAAAATCCCTTCTACATATTTAAAACAGAAATAGAAGCCTGTAGCTGTTTACTGACCCTCTCTCCGATCTGGGTTTGGTCTCCATGAGGGAGAATGTCAATATCAGGCTGGAGGGAACAAGCATCAATTACTGCTTTGTACCTGCGGAAACAAAAAAGGCAACGCAAAATCCACACAGATACTGCTAAAGAAGCACATTTCCTACCTGCAGAGGAACAAAAATTAACCAGCTGGAAAAATCAGACAGTGGAAAATGTATTTGTTAGCACTAATTGTTCTAATGGGTTCTCTTTCAATCACAGGCAAGTAAATAATATTTCAGCTAAGAAGCTGCATCTTAGGTCAGCTTCCCAATTAAAAATATTTAATAGTTAAAACGAAGACAACACCTTCCATGGTGTATTGTTATTGTTTAGAATTTCACTTTTTTTCGTGCCCAGGACCTTTGTTTCTTGTTTCTATATTGAAGGATGACAGAAAAAATGCGTGTAGGATGTGAATACACACCCAACCACTTATTTTAAGATGGAATACCAGCAATTAACTTTTAAATATTTCAGAATGTATGGCACGAATTTGTTCTGAATAAAAAGGCAGCCCATTAATCCCTCACAATGCACCAAACACTGAAATTGTCATAAACAACATTCCCACTCCCAAACAGCTAATGCTCTTCTAAGACAGTTAAACTAGTCAATTAGGTGTACCAAGAACATACTTCATGCTAAGCACATGGAGTCCTTGGAAATACAAACATTTCTAGAGCTAAGTTCAAGTAAGAATGAACTCTGTTTCTTGTGTCATTCAGGAAAAACATTGTCAAAGAGGGGCTGCACAGAACTCAGGGTCTTTTCTGCCATGTTTAGGCAGATGCAGTACTTTTCTCACCAGAGGTAGATGGGGACCCATGCGTGAATTGAGGCCTGCGCAACTCCATTATTTTAGGAAAAGGGAGTAAAGCATGTAACAGTGCTGGAACCTGTTACCTCTGTTTGTTAAAAGGGCTTTCAAATGTGATATTCTCTTCCACTGTGGCATTGAGCAACCAAGGCTTCTGTGATGCATATGCTACTGAGCCTCTTTTCCTGGAAAAAAAACCAACACAACAGAGTTCCCAGCTTACCAGTGCAGTAGGTGTTTTTGGAAACCATTTTCTTGTAAAGGAAGAAACTGGTAATAAGTTTTAAAAAGTATTGTCTTTAATTTCTTTTCTTTAGGTCAATCAATAGCTCTCCCATCAAGGAAACAGATAATATGTTTAATTTCCAACAGAATACTGAAATTGTTCACTTTAATGAATTTCAGTTTGTTCCCTCTTTTTCGGCTGTGAGGTGAGTTTTGGAAAGCCTATCTCAGTAAAGCTGCCTCTTGAGTAGTGCAGGTGGCAGGAATCCTTTAGTTACCAAAGACTCAATCCCATCTCTGTTTGGATAGACTCACTAGTAAGGCAACATATTTCAGGAGGGACATTACAAAAAGATATTTTTAAGGTGTTTTTTAAAAAATAACAACTCCACACATGCACAAAGGCAATTTCCCCTGCCCCAGCACATTATTTTCCTGGTTCTAAGAAGAGAACTTGAGTCATAAAGCAAATGGGTATCCATGAGTAAAATCTGACTATGTCTATAAAGACAAGAAAAAAGAACAAAATAAAGAAAAAATAAAAGTATCTGTCTACTAGTGAAGTAATAGTGCTTTTGTGACTAAGGACCTCTGTAAGACAGAGTTGGGAGAAAGGCAATGTTTTTAATTAGAGCAGCTGATACTGCTGGAAGACTTACTGGCGTATCACCATTTCTCCAGAAAAGGGCCAAATGAGGGATCGTACACCTAAAAGCATATCTGTTTTCTTTCCAGCTATATCAGTTAATCCAATAAAAAGATAGGACCCCTCACCCAAACATAGTCTTTGTCTGCTAGACAGCCATTACAGCAGCCTTTTTCTAGCAGAATCTGAATGCCATTCAAACCCTGAGCTGCCAAAATACACCAAGTGCTTTATCTTTTTTTATCAGGAGTTAAGGTCATTTGTCCTGCTCATTTTTTCAGGATTTCACCAAGTTTGCTCAGAAGCCATTATAGGATCCAGTTTTCTTTAATGACCTGAAAGAACACACAGTTACACTATCCTTTTAATGTGCTTCCAAGTTCAAATGTCTGATGGCTCATTAGAATTTAATTATGTTTTATGAATTCTCTTTATTGGAAAATGAAACACAAACAAGAAAAAAAAGACAGAAAAAATCCCCTAGGTAGCTCAGCCTGCAGTACCAAAATCTAATTTAAAAAGTGTTCAGTTCTGCCTCAAGAGGGAAGCATTTTTTAGTGAGTATGATATTTTCATCCCAATGATTGAGAAAAACTTGCTCTGAGCATACCAGGATGACCCTTCCACTCCTTTTCATTGCTTGAAACAGTGCCTGTGCTGCTCTTCATTCTGAATGTGAGTGAAAAGTTCCTTCTAATTTATTTTTTGAAAAATAGTAGATAAGTTTTGAGGAAAATGTTTTTACAATTTCTGTTAAGAGTGTTCTTTTGTTCAGTAAAGATACAGGCACTGCCAGTAAGATGCACTCCGTGCTGAGAACCAGCACAGTGCCTGGGAACACCACTCCCGTTTGGCTTACATTCTGCTTTTAGGCCAGCAGTAAGAATTACTGCAAGGAATCTGGGAACAAGCAATGAGCTTGCCAAAATTCATTACAGACTTAGAATTTAGTAAACCTCTCTAAATTAACCTTAATTGCAAATTGACACTAGGATGACATATCAGGCCAAGATCATATTTTGACATAAGTAAAAAGCTTGCAAGTGCTTGATCATATGAGAAAACTATTGCATGGCTACAGTGTTTCTTACAGTAAATAGGCAATAAAATAAACTTGACTGAAACTGAGAAACATGTGGCCAGAAATCCAGAGAACAAAATATTCTGAAGCCGAGTGTGCAACACTTTCTCTGAAAGCCTGCCTTGAACCTACCTAAGGTTTCACGCTCAAAAGACTGAATGCAAACAAACGGTTTAGCAGACAAAGACTTACGAGGAATTTATTCTGCAGGTGGAAGTAATTGCCTCCTACCCCCAGACTGCATAAAAAAATATGCATTTTCATCAATGGAGTGTAATTTTTTTCCTTTGATAGCACTAGATAGACTAACCATAGCCTCTTAATGATAGTAAACAAAGTAGTAACAAATAGTTAGTAACAAAGTAACAACAGTACGATTGTAACAAAAGGGCAAACTGCAAATTCAACCTTGCAATAAATAGGAAAAACCTGTCCTGAGCTCCCTGGAGACTACATGCTTTGGCTAATATAGGACCAAGGCTGTTCATTAATTTAGAACCAGAAACAACATTATGAAAATTGTTTGTTTAAAGTTATTAATCAAACTTTATCTTCACATTTCATTTTGTTAAGTCCACTAGGCTCAGTACGCATTCAAGATCACTGAAAATAAGACTAGTTAAGGGACATTCATATCTGAATCCTAGTGCCTTAATAAACCTACTAAGTCTGAAATGTTGGTAATTTTTAAATGACAATAGATATCCTTAAAATACAATGGAGTTATAACAGTAGAGGAAATAACACACTGCAAATCCTTTCCTGTGTGTTTTGGATTGCTGACTTGAGTTTCATCTTGATTATTTTGCACAATTCATGAATTTCTAACACCAGTCAACAACTCAGAATCAAATGTTTTCCAGATATGAGAGAAATGTGTACTGTACTGTGCTATACTACTACTGCATGAACAAACAAATATGCTTCTATTATTTTCAACCTGATGGTAGGTAATAGAACATTCTGATATTGCCAGGGCTGAGTACTCAGGAGGATACTCTTCTGCCGTTATTAAGCTGCAAGGGTCACCTGCTTGTTTTGACTTCAAAATCTTGCAGTAGCTCCACAGAAACAACCCATTTGCCTTCTAAGGAGGAACAACTCATTAAGTGCAGACACACCTGAAGAATGTTCAGAGTCACAGAATGGCTGAGGTGAAAGGGGCCTCCCAAGGTTCCCATTAGTTTTAAAAATTGTTATACCTGAATTCCGTGTCAACAGGAGAATCTTTCTCTGGGCTGCAGAAAACAAACACAAGGTATTTTTAAAAAAAATTCAATTATTTTAGACAATGCAAATAATACCTTAATGTACTATCACTATGCTATAATTAAAAATACAACAAAATGACTGTGTAACAGAAATAAAACTCTTAAGTGTGCTAAAAATCTGTACTGTGTGATACCGCCCTGAAAAAGACATGGTTAAAGCTTCAGTTTTGAGAAGCGCTAAACAACCTTGTAGAAAGTATTCAACACATACGAGTAAATGCTCAAGACCTCACAAGTTTTTTCTCAAAATACACTGTTCTGAGATCACCAAAAAAGTTCTACAGGGTGCTAGTGTAAAAAACCCCACCAGGCATACAGCGCTTAAACAATATAACTAGGATTCCCAGAACCTATAGTAATGTAGGTAATTGTTTAATACAGTTTAATATCCTTTCCTACTTTCTAGTTTGCTGTTCATCCCTATAACAGTTTCAAACACGCAAATGTCTAATTATGATCATAGTTCTCTTATATTTTAATGGGTTCAAAGGGTTTCATTGTAACTTGGCCCAGAAATTGCAGTCTCTAAAAGACAGAAAGAACTATGAGGTTTCCAAGTATCCTTTACCACGAAGATCAGTTGTTAGATACATGAAACTCCCTCTTACACTACACACAGATGGGAGAAGATTTGCAGGACTCAGTCTGACAACCAGGTTGCAAGTTCAAGATATAAGGTAAATGGAAGAGAAGGGGATGATTTTTTTTTTTTTTTAAAAAAAAGGTAGTAGAATAATTGGTGCATCACAGAACCAGGAGAATATTCAGGTCAGTAGAAGACACATAAGAAAAGGGAGATCCTATGATGTTTTTCCTCTGCTGGTTTCAGTAACAAAGTTCTCACTGACTTCAGCGGGGATAGGATTGTCACTTTTACAATATGAAGGTTTGTGTGCCGCAATAAAATGACAACCATGTCAGAAAGCTTTGCTCTCAGCTGATTTGGTAGATATTCCCAAAATCCAAGCTGAGCTGTTAATCAGGTAAAGATAATTTTGATTCAAGAGTCCTTTGCCAACAGACGGACTAATCTGATACTCCCCACACTTCTCAGTTTTTGTGTGCCTGAAGAATGCTAGGTAAGAAAATAAACTTATGACAGGATGTGAAAAATTAAGAGAAGGGTAACGGGGAGAATTTGCTTTAATAAATGAAACCTTTAAAGTAATACTTTATACTATTTTTCAAAATGTAGCAGCAGGGAATAACCTTGTTCAGACTTTAAGAGAAGGATTTTCAAAGACATACAAGAAAGTTCAAATATGATTTTCAAAATCACCAAATGGCCACGTTTTCATAAAGGAAATTCAGCTCTTATTTTCATAAGTCACATAGATGGTCTCAAAAATTGTATCCTAAGCTAATTAATACAGTGAAAGTTTCACGGATTTTCAGAATTCTGACTCTGAAAATCTCATGCATAGATTTTAGAAACCTTTGGTGCCTTCTACTGCAATCGATTTAGTGGGAAGACCAATAATTGCATACAATACCGTACCTGACATCTTCCCCCGTCTCACTGTCAGAAGTACAGCTGCATCACAAACAGAAAGCAAAGACTGTTTACTTAAGTAAGCACAGGATATCTGCCCCAGAAAGAAAAACTATTAAATTCCACTTAGTGCACAGCCCAGACTGTAAACAGTATTTATCACAGAGCTGGAGCGCAGCATCTGTTCCTTCTACACAAACTGACTTGATTTTAGCAGTCAAAAAAATTTGGGGACATTTTTTCCTTACAATCATTTAATTTGATGCAACAAATAAAATCACCTTCACTCTGTCCTGGAGGGGTCAACAGAACTAAGAAGTCCTAGTGTGACAAGAATGCCATTCCATCGAAAAAAGGACATTTTCAGGGAAAACAAACTGGTAATTCGTGATACTGTATTTTTCCATGGCTGTAACTGCACCTTGCAGCATATAATGGGTTAGTTTGAACCCCAAATCTCACCTTCAGTTGACTTGCAACATGCTGCATTCTGTATCAGCCCTACACTTGAGGGGATGTGCCTGTATAGGCACATGTGGGCACATTTGAGAGATGGACAGGTTTTGTTTTTGCTAATTTAGAACATGTAGCAAGATGTTCAGACAGTTGTTTTAATAGGATGACTGGCCATACTTATTACTGATGCTAAATTCAGTTGCACTGAAAAGAATGAAAAATTCTGTGTGTCAAGAGGTATAAACAAAATCAAGGAGGAACAAAACTCTTCATGCTTCTAAGTGCACAGTGTCATTAACTTTACGCTAATACAATTTGCTTATAAATATCCAGGAGAGAAAACTATACCTGCAGTTTAACAGGTTGGTTTTAGAAACTTCCAAAAAGTTCATGGATAGTAGGCAATGACTGCATCTAAATTCAATTTACTGTAGAATTTGAGAGAGCCAGCCACTAGCAGCTTTATTCCAAAGGTCAGTGTACCAAATAAAGCTTTTCCACAGTTACCTCACCCTCCACTGGTCTTTAATGACTGTTTGAACTCAGCAGCACCTTCTCAAAAAAGCCATGAAAGTGCTGCATTGTCATCAAGTAGCAACACGTTCTTTACGACTATCAAGTGGCTGAAATAGGGAATATTTTTTCCAGCCCTTCCACGCACAATACAAGGACCCTGAGCAAACATTGGTTCCTGCTTCATGGACCACCCCAAAGAAGGCCAGGAGTCCATTCTACCAGAGAACACCTGATAACTTGCAACCTGTAGCGTTTGTGCATGACAGTGACTTTGTGCTCCACGGTGCTCTCCTACACAGGCCTGCAAGACAGGCAGAAAACTGTGCAGCTCATATAATCCATCAGTGTAGCTTAGCAAGCAAAGATCAGCCAGAGTCCCTCATGGTTAGCACAATTCAACTGTGCTTACTGCAGGTGTGCAACTTTGCTCCAGTTTCTGCTCAGAAACCAGGGCAAAGCGCCATGCCCACAGGGCACGAACCATTCTCAGAGTAACAGGAGGTGCAGCAGAGCAAAGCAATGTCCAGACTGCCTCTGTTAACCTTGTTCTTTTGCTATACAGCCACAGGTGCCACAGTTTTCATAGGCAAATACTGGTGGATCAATTCCCTGATCTGTGTTTCTGTTCTGTAGCTGGAAAAATAAATAATTCTGCATTTAGAGTTTTAGCTCAGCCTTTTAAACTCACTTTTTCTCACTTTGACATAGTTTTATCTCTCCTTTCCCCCTTTTCTTGCATACTCCTGGCAATTAAGGATGCATTTCTCTCTTACTAGTGTTGAAATATTAAAGTAATGTATGTTTGATAATGAGCTCTAGATCTAATTTTTGCAGGTATATGGAATTCTGAAGATGCAAATACATGCCTACTGAGATTGTCAAGCCTTCAGATCTCTATTTTCAATTTAAATAAAAGTTTTGGAAAACTCCAGTAAATATGTATTGAGGAGAAATCAATGTACTTTCTAGGCATCAAAATAACCTTAAAATACTGTCATTTGATGAATACTTACTTCATTATGAGGACTCTAGATTCACATGAGAATACATATGTCTTGTTTAGAAACAAATGCTATAATTTTGTTTGAGCAAACTATTTCTCATTTAGGTAAATTTTCTGATATTGTTTACTTCCTAAAGAATTCTACTCTAAACTGCTCTCTGGACTTGAACTGAGACTATTTAAAGTGAGATATTGCCCAGAAGAAATTAGCATGGCATGTACTCATTCACTCAATTACCAGTCAAATCAGTACTATGTAACATCTGTTCAGAACATAAATAATGATTTATCTATTTTTGTTAATCTCTAACCATATTATAAAATATTTATGCTGAGATCCTCTCAGCCTGCTTTAGTCAAGGGGCAGTAGTTTGAGCTGGATCTTCCAGGCTCACAGTGTAATACAACAAAACAAAATCACAAATGAGCCAGTGCTCACTTCTGATTAACTGATTCCTAGCCCAGGAATAAATTACATTTCTTTTTAAGGTCTTAAACCAAATAATTTTTATAGGAAGTAAATAAGGATGGTGTGCAGTTAATCCTGTTTCATAACTGAAACAGAGGAGGGAAATGACTTGTGCAAGGTTATCCATTAGACCAAGGGAAGGGCCAGGAATAGAATCCAGATTTCCTGAGCAGAATGACATGTCAGCAGCATGTATCCTTCATCTTCATAGCTGTGACCTTGGAGGAAGGGAAGGGGAAGAAAATGTGGAATGAAGGAAATTCAGGACTATTCTGTAACATTAATGACTGAAGCCAAGCATTCATTTTATCCCAAATAAAAAGCTGTAACAAGAATCTTACTGATTCTGGTGACACATTTTATTGCCCAAGCAAGGATATGAGTTCTGGTGATTACTTGATAAGACAACTTTCCTTCAACCTGGGATAATGTTGCATGTACCTGGTCAGGCATTAGTATTTTCTTATCAAATTAAGGGAGCTTTCATCTGATGCTTTACAACACAGATGTGCAGTCTACATTGACTGCATTTATCTTTCTGAATAAACCAGTGCATATAGTAGCAGCTCTGAAAAACGAAACAAAACATAATCTGTCCCAACACAGCCAGCACTTACAGTGCTGAGATTGTTTCAGCCACAAGCCCCTGTATACATATCTGACAGATAGCAAAGCAAATGTGATAACAACTGAATTTCATTTTGTGATACTTTGGCACATCTAGAAGACATGAAAACCAGTTCTGACCTTTACACTGCTGTGAAGCAAATACTTCTAAACAAGTGCTATTTAAAAACACAGTCTGATCAGAACCATCATGTAATCTGTTTTAGTTTAGCATCAGACATTCAAATTACACTTCTTAATCATGTTATGTCATCTGTAAAAAATTACAGTCTTGCTGAAATGAAATTAGTTCACCTAATAAGGCTGCAGGGATTCTGTATGGTTCCTCACCATACTCTGATTTTCTGCTTAAAGAAGAATGTTTTAATGGACAGATCACCATATTCTGGAATTTTGGCTTCTGTTCTTGTCTCCCTCACCAGCTGAAAGGGTCACCTTCCTATGTTTCATTTTCCCCACCTATAAAACAGGACACCTTCCTTCCTTGTACTGTTACTATTAAAGCATGTGAAATTCTGAGTAGTGTGACTGGCTTACACATGAAGGCTGGATATAAATCATATATCTCTACAAACATTCAAGGAATCTGTGAGAATTGTTCCATGAAATCAGTGCAGAATCCACCAATGACCCTCTGTCCATTAGGGTGCGTGGACTTACAGTTGCACTGTTGTTTCTTCATTCCCAATCAGTTGGAAATAAAGTTAATTTTTTCTCTAGGTTCTTCTACACTTTGTCAAGCTTCACCTACAAATAACTGTATCCCAAAAGGCAAAGCGTAGTCTCTATGGCTAGGAAGCCTAGTACTGTAAAATAAACAAGCGAAAAATGTTCACACACATTGATCAGACAGTGTACTAGAGATGGCAATAATTTACCAGAAACCAGATACAGGAATTGCAATATATTATAATTACCCATCATTTAGTTTGAGGACCAAGACACCAAGCGCTAGCAGTGCAGCTGCTAGAAATCAGTAGCATTTTTTTTTCCTTTCTTCATGGCCAGTACAAAAGTTAGCCACAAGTATAATCTATAACCATCTGTCAGAGGGCAGCTGCTGTGTCCACTTGGGAAAGGAGGGAAGGACACAGCTATCTCCCTCTTGTCAAATCAGTCAGGATGCACTGGGGGAGTACCCTGAGGTCACTGCCACTTATAAAAAAACTCTTCAATTTCTCAGGCACTAGACGTGTGCAGGGATGGAGCACACAGCTAAAGGCACAGCCAAGGACTACTCCTCGTGAGCCAGTACCTCCTTATAGTTCCATTCCAAGACACAAGCTCAGGCCTGAAAGTGCAAATGCCATTCTGCAGCAGCAAAACACTTCAAGCTAATTCTGATCCCAAATTAGTTACGATTTCACTCAGTTTATGTTGCTGGAGTTCAGAATGCCCAGGTATGGTTATCTATTTCTATCAATGGAACGGATAGCTTTTTCAACCCTGGCTGAGGGTTTTTTCTGTTGTGCTCCCCTATTACTTAGGGTAAGGCTTTTATCTTGACTACACCTACAAAATCCCCAACAGCACAAACAGGTTCCCCAGGATAGATTTGGGCTTCTTTCTGCATTACTACTCAACTTAAACTTGAATCTTTAAATAGCACTACCTGCTCCAGAATATGTTCCCAGAGATCTTCTGCATCTCACCAAGTATGGCTAGCAAGAGAGATGACTTACCGCAGCCAACCTGTCCTACAATCATTGTTAGCTGACCTGTGAGAGAGGAAAGTGTATACATAAGCTTCTGATTTACTAAATGCTCATGAAAAAAACATCTTGTTTTGTATATCTGATGTCATTTTGTACCTTGAGGGATTCGAATATCAATGCTGGACAATGCTGGAGGACCTTCAGGTGTCCAAGTGAAAAATCCATTTGTGATCTATGCCAAGATGAGAGAAATAAGAAACAGAAAATGAGCTTTAGCGCTGATTTCTTTTGTCAACATCAGAGACACTTCTGTTTTCATTACACTGAGCACTGGAACTGAGTTAGCTGTTGCTCAATGCAGGAAACAGATCTCCAAGTGACTGATTTTGTAAAGGTCTGTATTCTGATGTGCAAGGATCTCTGAACTCAGACAAGAACAACAACTAGAAAATTATGGAAAATTCCCGAGGAAAAAGAAGTTCCTCTTTATGGTTTCTTTTGCTTTGTTATTTGTAAGGTGGGCACATGAAAGAAGTGAAAAGATCACAACATGATTAAATTATATCCAGGGTCACTGTTTGGTCTCTGCCAAACACTGAATGTCACTCTAGACACACTGCAGCTTATACAGCAATTACACGGGCCAAATTCCGTGCAGATTCGCAGAAATTTCCATGGAAATTAGATGTTGATGCCTATTACAGTATTTTCCTTTCTATTTCTGATATGATTCTTAGATAACCTAGGCTTTGCTAGATACAGAAATCTTTTCACTGAAGATGACTGAAAACAAAAACCAAAGCTTGTTAAATGGAGATTTCCATGAGTACCATGAAAAATAGGTAGCAGGAGACAATTCTAAAAGGCCTGTATTTATACAGGACCCTCTTCTCACTTTCTGAGAGCAACTGAAGTCTTCAAAGTCTTTCAGTAACGCAAGGCTGACTGATCTGAGAAAACAGACAGGGGAACAAATTTATACTACCCTGGAGAAAAAGGGGATACTCTTGTCTTGGGAAACAACCTGAAAAAATAAGCAAAAGAAAGCACAGTGTTCCTCCCTCTAGATTATCAAAGGCAGCCAGAGGTTCCTCTCCTAAAAAGATGCCACTTCATGGGCAATGAGCTGCAGACAGACAGTACTTGGTAACTACAGAAGTTCCCGGGCCCAGGTGCCAGCGGTGACAACGATGGCAGCAGATGGAGCCAAAGATTATAGCTGGTCCTGGTTTTCTGTTCTAGACCCTATAAATACTGTCTTTACAGAGGTTATTGCTCTGGCCTTTTCTTTGTGACAAACTCCTTTGCTGTCCCTCCAAGCTGTCTTTTGATCCAAAACCACCATCCCCTCAGCCCTCCCAAATATTCCTTTTATTTTCCTGGAAGTCTATTCAAGAAGGATCCTGCACCAAAGCAGCATGTCAGATGACAGTCTCTAAAAAAAACCTGAAAGCACTACCAGTTGTCCTACTTTGTCCCATGAAACTGAATTATTCATTCTCTTGTGCTGGAAATGCAAATGTAATAGCAGACTTACTAAATAAACAGCATCATCACTATAAAAACCATCAGAATTAATATTACTTCTGGCCATTTCTATAGCAAATCAAGAGCATCAGTCTTCAAAGTGGCATGGGTGATTTTAATCTTTTCTTCAAAGAAGTTAGGTCTTTGCAGGTTATTTGGCCATTTTTGTCACAAGAAAATGGCTAAAAACCTAAACACTTCAAACAGGAAATTGCTGAGCAAAATCTAGAGAGATATACACAGCTAATCACAACATAGAGGTCAGTAGTCAAGTCTTATATGGAAGAAACGAAAGAAAGGTGGCAGTTAGTCTCTGACATGAGCACAAGTGTCTCAAAGTTCACATCAAATCCTGGTTCTTGAATTTGAAACTGCCATCAGAATACAACAGTGACTATTAGTAAGTGTTATTAGAGTGACCTTCATATCACCTTTACACAAAAATCATCTGCTTCTGTGATGTTAATGGGTCTTCTCATGTGAGAGCTGTAATTATTCCAGTCCTCCCTGGCAGGCCTCTTGCGGTTAACAACTTTGAGTGGCTGTTCAAAATCAGAAAGATAGAAGTAAGCAGTAATTGGTGGCAGTACTGTTGGCAAAATATCCTAAACACGAGCAACCATGTTATGACCTGTGCAGTTCAGAGTATTAAGAACAGTTTTTGCAATTGCAAGAAATAATCAGTAGGAAATGGAAAAGTAAAAAATGTATTCTGGGTACAAATTACTCCAGACACTTCATCTGCAAACAAACAGCATTACTTACCACCGCCTGATACTTGCTGTGATTATCTGCACTCCTTAGCTCTGAAGATTTATCATGCTCTTCTCCAATTTCTTCACTTGACAGGAATTCACTCAGTTTCTGCACGCTGAAAGGGAAAAAATAGAACCACACCTCAACCTTGAACGCAAAACTTTTGTTCCATGCAGCCCCTGTGTGCTGCATTGCTTCTTTGTTTACTTGCTTTCATTTTGTTAAAGACATATGAAAACGTGCAATGAGAAGTTACTGCAAGGAAGTTGACAAAACCTGCCCAGTCATCTGCTAACAACTATGACACCTAGATGGTTTGTGCAGATGCTTCTCAAGTCTTGTTTTTTCTGATACCAGCAGATTACACAGAAGATTTTTTCAGGCATTTGGTGGAACGCAGACCAGCTACAACAGTAGCTCATTTTGAAGGTACACGCGGAAGTAGAAATAACGTCATTTATGATACTGAAGTGTTGCACAGTCACTTCTACTGAGCAGTCTTATGAACACTAGCAGTCTGAGGAAATCCATACCCTCTGTGAGCTAAATTTGACCAGTTATAATGAAATACAAAGTGTACAAGGTAACACTACAAAGGCATATACCTTAACAGAACAGTGTCCAACAGATGAGATATAAAAGGAATTCTAACAACCAACAACAAAGGAGAAGGCATAAAATCTTCACAAGCAGCTTAAGATTTAATTAGCTAAGAGATAATGTGCCTTTATTATGTCATTTAACAGAGCATGGCATCAATTTTATCTCTGCACCTGACTTTATAAAATGTATGTCTAATCTGCTCACAGGGACAGCAAATTAAATTTGTAAAGGAAGTGGATTGAATTATGAACTCAACATCAAAGGGGCTCAATTAGCTGGAAATAAGTTAACTATCAGTCTCCAGAATGATAAAAGTGCCAGAGGGCCTTAAGTTTCTAAAAATAAATTTATGGACAAAGACTGAGAAAATGGATTTCAATATTTAGCCTTAGGCTAACTGGGGAGAAATAGGCAAATGATGCCACTGGAGCACAGTGACAGACACAAGGCTGTCAGTATAAAAATCTTACAAAATAGAAATAAAATCCCAGCATTTATTTGGCATTCCACTGCCAGGGATTTCTTCTTCAGAAGGAGACTTAGTTTCCTCTGAGAACCTCATGAGATGCTCCACTGGTGTCAAAACAGTGCTGAGACTAAGGCAGTAAAGGACTACCTAAGGCAGACTCCCTGTAGGGTTAGCACTTGTCCTGCAAGTAGAGATCAAAGCAACCTGGGGACTCCCTAGGAGAGAACTGCTGCTATAGTTTCTCTGTCAACCTGCCCACTTGCTGATGGCAGCTGGGGACTGAGAGAGATACAGGGGGTGCATTTAGCTAGAGCAGGTGTTACAATCTAAGCAACTGAAAAGGGGAAGAATAACTATTTCAGATGGGACAAGAGGTGTAATAACTAATTCAGGCTCAATGTTGGACCAAAATTCCTTAATGGGAATGTCTATTATGTCAAAGGAAGAAATTAGAAGCCCCATCACTATAGATATTTATATCTATCTATCTAAAGCTCTGGTACATAGCTCTGGGATAGCAAACCTTGCCTGCTGCACCTACATTCTCTATAGGAAATTTCGGACATTTGAATAATTGTTCGGAAGGTATAAAGAGCAGATATAGAACTCCCTTGTGTGTCTGCTCCAGGGTCTAGGGGAGGAAGAGAAAACAGCAAACATATTCTTAGACCATGCATACCCAAACCCATGTCTCTATTAAGTCATTCAATAGTTTGATTTTTGCTTTCTGCTCTTTGGTTGGGTATCAAGGTGCCTGTACTCTCAGTGCCAAGATGTCTCTCTGCAAGCTCTCTGCCCAATGCTTATTTCTGGGATTGCTGCTTCTGTGGCAATTACTGAGGAAACACAGTATAGCTCTGAGAAAATCTTTTGTTATCAGCTCGTATTTCAGGATGCCACACAGTTCTACACTCTTAAAGAATAAAAAAATACATTCTTTGCAGAGCTCTCGCTGACATTGCGATTTCACTAGTATGCCACTATCTCCATGAAGGAGCTTATTTTTAAGCCACAGGATAGAAGTATTAATTAAAACATGGTTATTTGCACAGCTGACTGAAAAAGTGGTTTCATATTAAACCCAGTAAGATACATAATGCTGCTTTTGCTACTTGACCTTCACTGATGGAAAATTGTACACAGTACTCTGTCCTTGAAGGCCTCCCATTTAAGAAATACATAAGTTGGCTGCTGGATTTAATTTTAAATGTCACAAACATTCTACATGTTAAGAAAAAGAAAAAAACCAACAACTTTTAAAAGAGATAACAGAATTTCTCATCTTCCTAAAGACTTTCAACAGTTCCCTCTCACAAGCAAACACCCTAGCCCCATAACTTGCAGAGTTCGCAGGGACCTTATGAGCTTTAAATCACTTTTCCCATTGGAATCAATCACACAGTTGTTCTGATAGCTTCAATGATAATCCACAAGCATGCTTTGCAGTTGGGCACAGGTGTAATGATTAAAGATACTGACAAGTTTATTTGTGGAGATTATTGTCCTTAATAGCATCTGGCATCAGAGAGACTGTAACCAGTATCAATAGAGCAGGGGTTGTGAAGTGCCCAAGATGCAAAGCCAGTTAACACCCTCTTAGTACCCTTTTCATGCTGGTTTCACTGGGGGATCAACTTCTGCTTCACTTAGGTCCTTTCTGTCACTACAGGAGAAGCTGTCCTGAACACTTTCTAAAACCAGTTAGAATATCTCAGCCTAAAGAAAACTGAAGTACAAATTTACCAGGTTAGGTTACCTTTATCCGATCTTACTGATCAGCTACTTATTAGCAGGGACATGTAACATCAGGACACAGTTGTAGAAAGTAAATATTAGTTGTGCTCAATTGGCACAAACAGAGTTTTCTAATAACTGTATGCTTTTTCGCATTTAACAGACTATTTAAGCAGGAACTTGTTTGCATGGGTTGGAAATATCTGGCACATGCTTCCAAAATATTGCAGTGAAGGATGGGGTACTCAGAAGACACACCTAGAGTAGCACCAGCAGCAGTGCACTCTGGAGTACTACCTGAGTTACTGTGATACAGACAGCCAGGAAGACAAGGATCATCTCAACTTTGTTACAGAGTTGGAACCAGGGAATTCCTGTCTGCGCTACAAATGGCAGGGCAGTAGCCTGCTAAAAAGATGATGACTACAGAATAACTCATGAAGGACAAGCAACAATTAATACTTAGTTGATACTAATTGCTTTAGAATTGTTACTGCACCATTAATAGGCACACGATTCATTTACAAAGACAAGCCAAAATAAATGCCCGCTACCAGTGCCAGTGTGGGCCCCCAGATACATTGCTGGCTGCAATCTTAGCATGACAGTTTGCCTTGACTCTAGGGACCGCCGCAGTGGATGCAAAACACTTCATGCCAGCCGCTGATGTTCTCAGATTTCACACTTGTTAGGAGAGAGGACACAGCTGTGACTTTGCACTGTCAGGGAATTTTGAAACTGCAAGGGCAATCTCAGTCTTCTGCTGTAGTCTTCTTTCCATCTCCAAAGCGACACAAAGGCAATTAAGAAAGGGCTGGTGTCCAGCATCTGTCCCATAGTTTAGACAAGCTCCTGAGACAGCTATATTGAAGGTCACAAAGACGTCCTAAAAAGTAAGAAGTTCAAGCTCTCTCTTCCTCTCCTATCAGTCAGGAGTTACACTGCATATGAAATGCATGAAGAGGTTTTCACACAAAATCTGTTGATACTCAGAGTAAAATTCCCAGTGAAACTGCAGTTCTACGGGCTGTTATTTCAGTTTTTGAACACTCAGATTAACATGTTCATGAGAAAGTAAATATTCATCAAGTCTGGAGTAGACATTTAGTCATTAAGTTACTCTCACAGTTAACTGTGTTTTTTATGATTTTGTTTGTTTGTTTGCTTATTTGTTAAACTCTCCACCAATGGGCAGCATCTCAGGCAGAGGAGTAGAGGCTGAGCACAGCCCAAGAGATAGATGCTGAACCACATGTGCTTCTGTGATTCATGTGTACCTGTTTCCCTTCTACATGCTTAATGGAAGAAAACATTTGGGTGATTTACAAAACTAAATCCTAAGTTTTCACTGCCTTTCTTGTTACCACATACATGTTGCATGCAATACCAATATAACTCAACCCATTCTACACAGTGAAGTACTAGTTGTGGACCACAAAATGTTGGTTGTGACAATTGCATCAGCAAATAACTTGTCCCACATGCTACAACCAAGGGAACCATGCAAGGTAAAATGCTGGGTAGCAATATACAACAGAACAGAAATAATTACCACACTATTTCTAAAGCGACAAATGTAAAATGAGCAATAGAGTCATTCTCAAAAGTCAAAGACATGGTAGCAAAGATATTAATTTTACAGTTCTCACCTTACTAATGCTTTGACAGTAGATCTAACCACACTGGAGAGCAGGAACAATGGAGACACAAGAATATGAAACAAGGAGATAGAGGCAAATGCCACCGATGGGGAGAAGTCAGCCTTTCTTGTCAGATGAGCATGGACCACAAATGTCTACAAAGAGACAGACATCATCAGCAGTGTTTTGCATAAAGAAGGAAATGCACAAAAGCTTCATATTTCATAAGCATTTCATTTACAAAATCTTAATTTATGCTTTTTTAACAGTTTGGGAGAGTGCTGAATATTCCAGGCTGCTTTTGTGGGCATTCTCCATCTTCTCTCAGAGGAATCACAAATCTGTAGCAGGTTTGCATCCTGTCCTCCTCTGTCTTGGTTTTGCTGGGATTGAATTGGAAAGAGTCCAGCGCAGGGCTACAAAGATGATCAAGGGAGTGGAGCATCTCCCTTATGAGGAGCGGCTGAGGGAGCTGGGTCTCTTTAGTTTGCAGAAGAGGAGACTGAGGGGAGACCTCATTCATGTTTATAAATATTTAAAGGGTGAGTGTCACGAGGATGGAGCCAGGCTCTTCTCGGTGACAAACAATGATAGGACAAGAGGTAATGGGCACAAGCTGGAACACAGGAGGTTCCACTTAAATTTGAGAAGAAACTTCTTCTCAGTGAGGGTGACAGAGCACTGGACCAGGCTGCCCAGAGAGGTTGTGGAGTCTCCTTCTCTGCAGACATTCAAAACCCGCCTGGACGCCTTCCTGTGCAACCTCATCTGGGTGTTCCTGCTCTGGCAGGGGGATTGGACTAGATGATCTTTTGAGGTCCCTTCCAATCCCTAATGTTCTGTGATTCTGTGTGATTCTGTAATTGTAGATTTACTTTGAAATGTTTCAGCAAAGCAGGATTTCTGAGAAAACTGCAGTGTTTGCTTTAGTGAACACAAGTGTAGCTTTGCCTGGAATGGAATTGTTTTCCTTATGATAGCTGATAAGGTTATTGGTTTTCTTCTTGCCAGCAGACGTTCACAGTTTTCAAGGTTTTTCTTTTTCAGTTTTTCACCAGCACCTGTGGTTACAGTTTCTTTGTGTGTGTGTGTGTTTTTGTTCATTTGTTTGTTTTCTCCTTTTCTCTGCACAAAAGGATATGGGGGCGAAGCAAAAGCCCAGGACTCTCTAGGGCAGGTGACCCAGGACTGATGATCAGGGTGTGATTCAAGCTGACCAATAAAGATGTATTCTATCCCATAAACATCACACGTACTATAAATTGGGGAGTATGCAGGGGAAGACCTCTTGGCTCCCCTTCACTTCTCCTTCATGCTGGTGGCCTGTCTGTGCTCCTGAGGCTTACCCCTCTCTTGTGGCATTTTTGTTGGCATACAGCCAGCGACCGCTGTTTGTGAGCTGACTAGAACTTTGATTGCTTTATTATAACTGTTCCTGTTCTTGGTGCAGATGATGATTATTATTATTATTATCATTATCATTATTATTTCAATGTGGTTTATTTTAATTATTAAATAGTCTTTATATCAACTGACAAGTTCTTAACTTTTACTCTCCCAATTCTCTTCACATACCACAGGGGAGTAGGGGGAAGTTGTGCGAGAGAACTGTGTGGTGGTTAGCTGCTTGCCAGGTTAAACCATGACATCCTCATTCCTCATTTCCACATCACTTATGCTTGAAAATGCAGTTGTAATTAACACTAAGAAAATTCCATACTTACAATAAGTACAGCTGCAATTGGTATTGCTGCATTCATAAAGACTGTGAAGGAAAACACGTAGGAACATTTAGAAACAATTTCCATTCAGACATGCCAAATGTTAAAATACTACTAGCACTGGTTTACAATGGTATTTTCTATGCTTAAGAAAGGAAAAATGTGCAAGTATCTACACACGTCAGTACATAGTTTTAAAACACCTACAGTTTACTTCATGTCATCAGAACAGACAGAAGCAGCCACCCTACAAGATCTACTGGTTTTTAGCTGTGACCAGCACACATGCAGTTCAGGTGAGGGGTGCTGCAGGTCTCCATCTCACAACAGGCAGAAAAGCTGAGCTGGGACAAGGTCTGGTTGGAGACTTGAATACCTGACAGTGAGAGGAAAGGAAATGCAGCAGTGGCTGCTCAGGCCATAGCGCTGGGACTGCCCCACAGCTGCACACCCAGCTTTGCGTCATCCCACAGCCCAGTAGCAGTACCTCCTGGGACAGCCATTGGCATGCACGTCAAGTTGTGACCTACTTCTGGGACACCACTTCCAAGGTACAGGGCTTTGCGGCCCCCTCAGGTGTCAGGATACATTTCAAAGGGTAAGGAAAGATCAGTAACCCTGAACAGTACTGTTGACTTAGTTTATTTTTACGGAAGATTTACTCATAATTACTCCTGCTTTGTCAGACTTGGCTATTTTGTGAATGTCCTTGGGAGCTTGTTACAGGTTCTAAGATTATTTAAATGTGGTAGAGCTTTGATTTCAGCTAGGTCTTGAGTCATTAAAATGCAAACAATGAACCAGTTTCCTCCCTGACCTCAAACAGTGTCTGTCTTGGTACCCAAGATTCCCTCACCATAGCAACTCTCCTACTATGGCATTCAGAGGTTATTAAACAGACAGATGGTGAGAAATAAGCAAATACCATTTCTGCATAGGGGTTTCTTTTAGATCAGGCAGGAATACGGGTTCAGAATGCAATAATAAGCAGTTATCCATCTGAGAGCCTGTGTCAGAACCAGAGCTACAATCTTACCCCACACATCTGTCCCCTCTATCACAACCTGAGGATATTATTTAATCATCACTTTTCCATTCTGACATTCGCTCAATTTAATTTCAGGAAGTAAACAATAGGCAAAAATAATACAGAACCTATAGTTAAAATAGAATTCAAAGATCAGTACATGTGTAACAGAAAAGAAAGAGTCTAGCCACTACCTTTTTTATTTAAACTGTGCCTGTTCTTTTTTCCTACCAGGCACAGCCCATGTTCAGAGAGTAAAAGCACTCCCTAGTTGCTTCATCTGAAGGGCAGTGTCATCATTTGCCTTACAAATACTTCTGGTTGACTATTTGTCCATCCTTTTCTGGGTTTCCACCCCAAAGAACTTAGCATACTGTCAGATGTTCCTTTTTCCCATGTTTAGATCTTTAATGAGTCTTGTAACATAGTTGTAAACTCTGTATTTAAGCATAAATAAAATAGCTGTGTTATTTCACGTAGCCCTAATTCCCTGGCAGAGGAAAGTGTCTGAAAATATAGGTATATCTGTACATATATTTCCAAAATAAAAGCTTAGCCTTTGAAAGATGGCTATGTATGAAACCTAGAAATTAATAGTTTACTCCTCACCTTAGGAAAAAGAAATCTGAGGAAAATGTTATTTTCTGTTTTAGAATACAAATCAGCTTCAGTTCAGACTCATTTCTTCTAATGATTCTACTTCCTGCCCAGTTTTCGCACGTTGTATAAACTTGAGGGAGTTACGGCATAGAAACTTTGAAAAAGAAGTGAAGCTTGCTGCCTGCAGCTGTGGATTACTTAATTCTATTAAATCCTTGCATTTGCAATTTGCCTTTGAGAAGCTGCAGTACACAAGTTTGCTTTTATGAATGAATCTGATGATGGAATTTAGCAAAGCTGCCAGATTTCTCAGAGATGGATTCAGCTCTTTTCCTGTCTGCAGTATGAGATCATACCTGCCAAATACAAAGCTGGTGAGACGAAATACACTGCAGGCTTGGCAAAGCCTGCTGCAGTTAAGGCAGCCAGGGTCACTTCGTGTCTCCTAAGAAGACAATCTGAATTTTGCTATTCTGTGAGATCATAGGTACATCCAAGGACTTCACTTCAAGCATCTTTTTTCAAGCAAAGAAATTAGGCCTTATTGAACAACTACAATCTGGGAGCTGGGTTGTTGGGTTTTTTTTTCATTTTTATTTTTTCAATTATGCAAGTGGCCAGAATAATAAAATGTTTTCTATCATAAATTTAGTTTCCAGCTAATACTCTTGGTTTAATTAGATACAGTCAAAAGTACTTTGTTACTGGAAAAAGGCAGACTGAAAACTGAGAAAAACATTTTCAGTCATTTCTGAGTATTTTAGGATAGTAAATACTGCAATTTTCTTGTGAGAAAGCCTACAGTTACTTTGCTTCTGACAGATTAGGCAAAAATTCATATAAATCAGAAAACCATTCCTTTCTTTCTCTGTGTTTCCTGAATATATAGTGTATACTAAATCCTGTAAAACCAAATATACAATAATCTTACTGATCAGCATTAAAATATTACATGGGAATCTTGTTTGCTACGGTTAAAGAATTCACTGTCAAAACTCAAAAGGTGTCACTACCAACTTTGCAACCCAGCTTTGACTCTGATGGGTACATTCTGTTAAAACCGCAGGAAGAGTTAATGTCTATAATAACTCTTTTAGTACACATGAACAATTCTATATATGTACAAACTGGATCCAGACACAGGGGTCAGGCAGATGAGATCCAATTTCCATTTTGTTCTTGAAATGGAATTGTCTTATGGTCTAGTCAACACTTCCCTGAAACTTGTAGGCATGTTTTCTGTAATTCAATGCAAATCTATACCTCATCAATAGAAGTAGTTCCAACTACATACTTTCATTCATGTTAATAGCTAAATATACTTAGGAAAATATTCCAGAGTCCATTCCGCACCTTATGTTAGAAAAGTATTTAAAAAAACATTTCCTATTGTTCTAGAAGTGTCTGCTTTCCTCTTGATCAGTAATACATAAATTCTTGGTAATCTCCTGCTTTTAAATTATTTTTCTTTCTTCTTAAAAAGAAGGAATCACACATTCACTACAATATTAGGAAATACGGTTTGTGCTGATTATGTCTGTCATCCTATTTATACTTATGGTAAGAAAACCAGCACATTCTTCTATGTTTTTGTACCCTATGTAGTCTGCTTAAGTGCAAGTTTGTAAAGATCAGTGTAATTGCTGCTAAAGACAGAGAGTGCAAGGAACTCCCAGGCTGAAACTATAGGAACTCTTTATAAGCCAAAATGCTATGTAACAACATAAAAAAACTGCATTGATTTACCCCAGCTGGGAAACTCATCTTACATACACAGAAATATTATGCATGATACAAACAAGAATGCAAATGTACACATTAAGTGCCTCAAGAAGCATCAGTACATATCTAGAATTGTTTTTAATAATATGGTTTTATATTTATGTCACTATTTCTTTACAGAATAGTCAGTACTCTTGGGATGAGTACACTTTTTTGTAGCTGTTACAAATGATACTGTGAGAACTAAAAATCAAATAAGCCTCCACAGCGCCTTCAGTCCTACAGCTGAACCTGTGTCTGACTATAAATAGATTTTAATGCCACATGAAGTAGTGCAAACAAAGGAAGCTCATCTGTTTTGATCTGGGTGTAGGATGGAGTTTCCGGTCGCACAAACTACTCAAGTTAAATTCTGTTTTATGTCAAAATGGAAACTACTGTCCAAGCACAGAGGGCTCAGGATCCCCAGAGAGAAATTCTGCTCTCGGAAGTCAATCAGAACCTCAACTTAATGTCAGTTAAATTTAGTGGGATCAGGATTTTTCCCTCAGAGTGCATTACTTATGTGATCGCTTGGCAGGGAAGAAAATCAGCTGCACGGCTCTTGGGTGAATGAAATAAAATAATACTTATCAGACTGGAAGTTATTTCCGTAAGGAGTAGCGTTTCTTATTAGTCTAGCAGTTACTTGTGCAGGTAGCCTGTGGCATTTCAATACTTCCCACTAAAAGTTCCCACTTCATTAATATCTTACAGATTATATGAACAGTCTTCATCAGCATGACATTACTAATTATTTCTAAAGTATTACAGTAGTGATTATACAGGTGTTGCATACGATATCCTCACACACAGAGTTCAGTTGGCCCTAGGTCTTTTAAAAGGGATGATAAAAGAAAGATAACATGAGACTAAAGAATCTGGATATGGAATGATGAAATTGCCAGGATTCTCATATTTTAACTTTTTAGCATATAGAAATGCTTTTAAGAATCACTTGCTTTAAGAATCACTTCATAAGAAATCCAAATTTTGAGGAAGAAAGTATAAGTACCATCTGTGGGAGCTTCAACGCAAAGACAATTCCTGTCACATGTTATAATACACCGTGTTGTGTAAAATGCAGGAGGAAAAGAAAAAGAAATATCAACAAAGGCTTCCTGAGTGCTATGTTCTAGAGGAGAACATTGCTGGCTGAAGGGAGCCTGTGAAACACTCGGCCCTTAAAAGCTTTTCTGCAGAAAAGCTAACGCTATGAGGCATTAATCTTGACTTGCTCTCTTAGGCATATTTCCCATACAGGCAAAATTCTACTGAATTAAATGGGAAGTCTGACTAAATGGAACACGAGGAGTATGGATCAGAGCCTAAAGCAACTGAAACAATCTTGACAAAGAAATGGTAAACTCATTAGTAGCTAATAATGCAGAAGCACTTCAGCCAAACAGTGGATTAGAATGAAGGAAGAGACTTACTGGATATGGAGGTGTAAAGGGCAAAAGACTTGAGGCTAGTCATTTCTTTTTGTCTGGTTTCTTCTACACTGCTGTGAAAGATGTGTTCCCAAGCATAGAGTTTAAGTAGTTTGATGCCTCGAAGCATCTCATTTGTCTTCTTCAGTCTCTCATTGGAGTACTCCTGCAATATTTACATATGTATTTACTTAAAGAGTATAATCAAAATACCTGTTCCCTAAACATAAGGATCTGTATGCAGCTCCTTCTAATCAGTCAGGTATACTTCACTAGTTCTGTCCATTCAGATGTTTTGTTACTGTTTTTTCACAAGGTTGAGTTTCCCTAGAGCTCAAGCAAAGAGGCAATTGGTTTGCACTCTTAAATCTTATAGCTTGTGCTGAAAAGTTTACTCTGTCTGCTTTCTGATGGCTTGCAAAGCAGCGTCTCATGACTTCTACTGCCCAGCACAGTGGCTGGATTTTCAACAAGCACTGACAACGTACAGAGGAGATCAGAGCATGCAGGCAAGCAACGCCTCGGTACACCGCTCTGCCCAGACAACACAGTGTGAAAACATCAATGCCAGGCTTCAAAGCAGCACAGCCATGCTAGGAAGAAGCTGTGATCCTGTAAGGAACCAGGACTCTGAGCAGGGCCAGCTGGCTCAGGTGCAATAATGCACTGGTAAAGTTATACTCCCAGTAAAGTATAACTGGAAGTTATGATGCATCCAGCTTTCAGGATGGCTCAAGGATCTTTGTACCGCGCTATGCTGCACAGTGGAGACATTTCTAGCACAAAATGCACTGCTCCCATCTGCAGGAATTTCTAGGTGATGCTGACTATCTGCCTGGATGCTATGGGGATGAATGGTGTCCACATTTCTAGAAGGGAGTATACTGTTGATTTCAAGGCATTACTTTTCACACAGGAAGGTGCACAAATAACTCTTATTACCACTCATGACTTGTGGTGGAAGAGATTTCAGCAAGCTGTCTGGGTCCATTACAGGTTCATATGGCGTTCTTGGCAGTGCAAGAGTTGCTGAATGTGAGGATAAGGTTCAGAGCAGCTGAGTGTGGTAATTCCTATGAACCGAAGTAACTTTCTCGGCAATGATGCAGGCGATTCAAATTATAGACAAGTCAAGCGAGGGATCAAGGAACAGTTCACGACTTAGCAGACCTCTAAGCTCCCCAGCTGAAGAGCATGCTTGTAGTAGTTAGGACTCCCTGGAGATTATTTAAATAAATAATTTTGATAGATTTCAACATCTATGATGTATCTGGGGTCTGAGTTTGGATGCAATATTCTTGTTTCCTTTCCCCTTGGACAGCTTACCCTATCATTTATTTGTGCACCATCTGACCGCACAAAGCCATTTCAGTACTGACCATTTATATTTGCAAGTGTGAAATATCTTATTTTTTTCACTCTTAAGGAAACACAAACTTGTTGAAAATCATAAACCCCAAACCCCGCATCTTCACTTCTTATGCTTATTATGTTTTCACATTCCTGAACATTGCAAAATGTTTGAGAATCAGTTCCCGGTCAATGTCCATGGTTAGCTTTGTACTTCCTAACACAGACCAGTGCATAATTACCAGACCTTATACTTCCATCATGTACGAGTTTGAAGACACTTACCAATGTGCTCCTCTGGGCTTGTGAGAGTTTTGTGGCTACAAAGTACTGAACAGGTGCAAGGACTATGATTACTGCTGCTCCAATTAAGGCACTGATCCCAAGAAGGTAGTAGAGCAGAAGAATTCCTACAATTATCTGTTTGGAGAAAAGAAAGGGATGGGAAGGCTTCAGCTGGCTTAACTTTATGTATGCACTACAAAGACCAATCACAGGGTCACTGGACAGCACGTTCAAAACCAACGGCCACTGCAGGCAGCCCTACCCCAAATGTCATACACTTCGTATCGCTGGCACAGTGGGGTGTGATCAGTCAGGACGCTCTGTCAGAGAACCAAACGCATCGACCTAGTGCACCTTCCCAACTTGTGGATTCTGAATTAATTTCCATTTCATGGACTCGCCATTAAAAACAGTAGAAGAAGGTTGTACAGAGTTGCATATATTCTATAATGTAACTCTCACAGCTATTTAAAATAAATACATTTATTTAAAAATATTAAATAGAATTTAAAATTTATTTTAATATACTGCCAAATAATACATTGAGATATTCCCTTTACAATCACTATTAAAGATTTTTCCCCATTGGCCAGATGACTGTTAAGAAAAAGGTTAGAGAACCAGCTTAAGAAAAAAGGGTTTCTCTTCGGATAAAAAAGAAACTAGAGAGCCGCAGTTTGGATGGAGAGGGAAACTCTGAGCAACTCAAAAATTGCAAAAAAGATATGCAAGCTACCAACGTTAATTACTACTATTCTAATGACTGACTCCTGAACAATCTGGAGCACTGACACTCTATGTATTTATCAGCATAAACTGATAAATTAATCAGAAGACATAGTGACAGAAAGTTAATTTCATACATAATTTCCTTTAATTTGAAAAACATTGGAAATTTCCTTAAAATGTTATCCACTACTCTTGCTATATTTGCATACTCTCATAACCCTCACATAAACACCATCTTCCATCATTTCTAAGCTCAGCAGTCATAAGCCCATCTATTCATGCACATATTTATGGGTGTTTCCATGAAGAAAAATGAGAGTCCTTAGTCTCCATGTTTCCATCTTGACTTTTTCATGAATCTCAGACATGCAGAGAGAAAATACAGATTTTTTTGTTGTTGTTGTTAACAATCCTCTGATGCCTTTCTGCAGATGAACTAAACTAAAGCATGACTCGTAAAATGAGGCACAGTATTGACTTTGGAAACATGCAGTAACATGAAAGTAAAGTCCTCTCGTATATACACCACGTATCTAGTAAAGCGTAAAGGTTAAGCTGTAAATTAAAAATCTTTTAGTGATGAGTAAGTGAATAATCTGCTTCCATCTGAAGTCAGGAAACCCATGAGTGTATGAAGCCAAAGAAAATACACAAGACCTCTGTCATATAGCCCTGGCAGAGCTCCCCTTCAAAACATGAAATGGTCTTGGTTTTTATGGACCAAGATATTCATTTCCAACTGCTTTTTTATGGGCAGACAATCTAGGCACTCAAAATACAGGAAAGCACTGAACAGCACACAACTAAGAGATATTCAGAACTACAAAGTCAACATGGAATGCTGACTCCCTGCTTTCCCCCACTACTGGCTGATTGGCAAAGACATTATGGGACTGGCTGGTGCTAGAAACAGAGCCTCAGCTTCTCACATAGACAAGGAAAAAGTTATTCTAGCTATTAGATCCTGAGGGAGTTGCTAGCTCACAGCTGCTCCCTTCACTCCCATCTTGGCTATTGAAAGGGCCAGTCTTTGCAATAAAAATTCTCTGTTTACAACAGATTAAAAATTATCCCATTTCCACCATATTTATATTGTGATAATAGGGAGAAACTTTTAAAATATATTAATCACGTATGGGAGAAAAAAATATATTCTCAATTTATTTATGTGAATACTTGTATCTGAAAAGTGCTGAAATACAGAATTACTTGCAAGAGTGCTTACATATTTATCATACTGCACACTGACACAGTCAAGAATAGATGGTACGTAGATAATATCTCAACTGCTGGAGGACAGTATCTGGCAGATGGGAAGGCTCTCAATATTTCTGAGAAGGTAATGATCATATTTTTCAAAAGCTGTGTAATTAAACACTTTCCTTCCCTTTCATCAAAATCCCAAAGCTCTTAGCTGCCAGAGATACATATCACGAGCAAGAAACTCACCAATAGCTCTGGTTATTTTGTCTTGATTATTTATTGAAGATAGCAAATACTTTCAAGCCAGAAACTGCTTTGTGGCCAGTTTTGAAAGAGACAAATGTCCTTTCATTACAACTGTAAGCTATCCCTGCCAATGAACCAGAAATATGAGAATACAAGATTTTTTAATAATCACAATGAAATCAAACAAAGGTGTTTATAAAACTGAGGGGATGGAAGCCTCATTTTGCTCCCAGGGTTTGAGCCAAGCCTACTGAGGGCATCTTCTAGATGACGGACATCCCCATGACTCCTTTCATGGATTTCAATGGCCTTCAAACAGTAATTTAAGTCAATTATAAAGCTCCTATTGATTCTAGTCAGAGCAAAGACAGGGCTCAAATTAGCTGGACTGTATAGAAAACCTAACCTGTTATGACTGTCTAAGTCTTCTAAGTTGGGGATAATTACAAAATCCACAGCAGATGCTGAAATCCTAACTATTAGGTTAAGACCTACAAACAATTAAAAACCTATTCTAAATAATAATGAAGTTTGTTCAATTTTATTAGTCATCTCTTGAGTATCCAGTAATTGCTTTCACTGCCTCATAAAACAAGGCATTGAATGAACATTGTAGAAATGTGTTTCGGAAAAACCTTTGTGACCACCATGACTCATTGATTTGTGCCTTGCAATGCATCCACAAAACAGGAGCACGCTTTGACACCAATTGTCTTGATCTGCCAAGGAGCATTGCAGGGCAAATATTAATGCAAATATAATCATATTTTCAGAAGACTATCAGGAAATCTTTATGAGTCCATGACTTCCGACACATTAGAACAAAATGTTGTTACAGAATATGCAATGAAATTGGCTTAATTCTTAGTTGCACTAAAGCTCTCTTTACTCTGAGCTGCCAGAGTGACCTCATAAAAAGCATACATGAAATTGGTGCCTCTCATATAGCCTATTTTACTAAAAGATTTACAATGGAGGCTTAGCCTAGGGGGTAATTGGACCCTAAACATTATCATTAAAGGGGTGAACTCTTCTTAATGCCTCATAGCTCTTTCAGAAACACCATGTTAGCAGCATACATAGTCACTGATGTCTTACTGCAGGGTACTTCCAGTGAGCGGACAACAAGTACTTTGATATCCAAATTACTACTAACAAACTGCCAGTCTACAACCACATTTAATATATTCCGTATCAGTTTCTTTTCACAATAGTTGTTTTCTCTTTTTTAATTAGAAATCAATATTAGTGCATGTTCCTTGAACATTGTTGGGTTTTTCCTCCCATTTTAAAATAATCTGGTTCCGATTTCCACACTCCCCCCCCTTAATAATTTCAGGGAAACCATTCTGGTGCTAAAAAGTAAGTCAAGTTTCTTTGTGAA